TTCCAAAATATTGTTGTAAAATATGAAGTTAACTATCTAGTTAAGATTAAAAAAATGTTTCTTTTTTTTCTTTCATAGAAGATGAAGATCAGTTGGTCAGAGATTTCCTCTCAATTGATATTACTTCTGTGGAATTGAAAGTTGTACAAAAAGGACCACTGGAGATATGTGCTGTTTCACTAAGTATTAGAAAATGCTTTGAAATACGATGTGACTGTCAGAATGTCCCCGGAGAGGGTGGTCTACGTACATCTAACATTAACCCACTATGTTCAGCCAAAGAACATACTAGTTCACTACAAGATCGCCCATGTCAAGAAAACAATACAGTAGAAACGTCTGAAAATAAAACATCGAATCATTATCAATCAGAGGGGACATCTTCGAAGGCTGAAAAAAGTTTCAAAGATCAAAGCACAGGTTTCACTTCTGCTACATTCAATTTAATGCAAAGTGAAAAAGGTAAAAACAAATTCAGTTGGCTGGGAATCCTTAAATGAATACCAGTTTTTCTTGAATTAATTGATTTATTTTGTTGTAGGAAAAGACTTTTCTCCGTGGTTCACAACAGGCGTATTTGTCGGGGGATTTGTGTTTGGACTGATAATATCTATGACTTTTTCTTATTTATGCAATAGAAGGTAAAGCAATTGTGTTTTATGCTGTGCTATGTTTGTACATTATGTAGGTAATTCTGCGTTTATTTTCTGATTTTAGAAGAAGGACTGGGGCAGAGAAAGAGAAGCCTGAATATTCCATGGGACAGGATATACCTTTACTCAACTCACACCTACCTGTAAAAGACACACCAGTGTATTCAGAAATTTCAGAACAAAAACAAAATAATAAGGCAAGTAATTCAAGATCAAGCATATTTTTACAAAATTAGGAATCAAAATTTAAAATCAAATAAAATTATAATATCTTGCAAAACAACGGGCTCCAAAATCATTGTACTTTGTATGAATTGACCTTTTTGTACATTATTTTTTTCTTTGTTTACATATAAAGTAAAATGATATGTACTGAACGTCTTAAAAATATTTTTAAAATCAATTTCTATTTTATTTTTACATCTTCTACTCTCTACTAAGACTATCTATGAAATTTTATAAACGTAAAGGTTTATCCACTATGAAAGTTCTTCGAAGATCATGTCGGATTTGGGTTTTAAACTAATCAAGTATTTTCATTAACATATAAATTTATATATAAAATGTAAATGGGATTGGTCAGTATGCAAAGGAATTTTTGACCATTCCCCATTATTGTTGAATATCTTGGATAATGCGTTGTCCTTTTGGCAAAACAAGTCCTTTAAAAAAAAACATGCATTAAGTCTAACTGTAACTATATTATCAAATAAGAAAACGTTGGGTAAACTGGTTATATATATTGATGAAAACTTTTTCACACCACGACCCTTTTCTTGATAGTCAATTCCTTTGTCTGCTTTGGGAACGAATTTCATTGATGGGTGATCATGTAGGGTTGCTATCTCGCATTGTATTTGTAAAATGTGACACTTAAGTTAATTGTCTCGTTTTGTTTATCTTATATTATAATTTCATATTTCTATATCATTTTCTGAAACCACAAGGAAAAGTCATGAAACAAATATACAGCACATATGTTAAAAAATATATATAGATGCAAAAATGTTATTGCTGCCAAATACTTCCCTATAAGTACATCAAGCATCCATGAGCAATGACCAGAAAAAATAATTTTATTTATGAGGCACATTATTTTTCATAATAATAAAATCACAACTTCGTATTTCCCTACCATCGGTCGAGCGGTTATACATTTCATATTTTCATAATGGGTGATGTGGGAATCAAAGTGAAAAGTACAACTGTATCTTTACTCTGTTTTAGCCCCAAAACAACGGCAGTACCCCACTATACAGTTCTCCGGTATACGTTGGAGAATACGTTGAACCAGTGACCATGAATGGAAATGCAAGACTTTTGCAGGACAACCAGTCAAACGATGAACATAATTTACCCATACATGCTATGTATACAGAACCCATTGGTACAGATCAAACGAGACGTTTATCGGATCTATGCAATAATGAATATAGTCATCTACAGTTTAATGGAGAATCTCAACTCCGTACACAAGGTAAAAAGGAATGCGACGAAACCTCAAATGAAGCAAAAGCTGAATCAACGGAAAATAATCAAACAGAGCATGACGAGGATCCAGTGGGTGCTTTTGATGGCACAAATAAGATTTTAGACAAGCAACAAAGAGAGGCTTCCGAGATTGAATCGAATTCTGCTCTCTCAGACCTTTCGGATAAAGAAGGAAAGGACATAGCAAATAATGCTAACCAAGCATTATTATCAAATGGCAAGGAAAATGAGTATTTTGTATTGGAGAAAAATGAGCCATAGTTATATACTGTAGATCACTTAATTTTCGCGATACCTTATTTTCGCGAGATAGTAATTGACTCTTTATTAGCGAGACATAATTTTCACGAATTGTGGTCATTGCTCTATGAAATCTTAAGGAATTCTATTATACGCGAGAATTAAATTTTCGCGAGCAGATCGTCTCGCGTAATTACGCGAAAGTAAAGTTCTCGCGAATAAATAGTGATTTACAGTAGACTAGATGAACATTATATGATCGCTACAATTTAAAGACATGACAAACTTAGAATAATATTCTAAACACAGGGATTGTTTTACTGTATATATTATTTATATAATTTTTGTTTTTTTTATATTGATGAAAATATCTCTATAACATATTTCTTTTATGTTTGTTGATTTCAATATGTTTTTCAATATGTAGACTAATGCACGTACACAAAATTTTTAATACATAAGTGCATATGACCTACTTGAACGAAATGCACATTTGTAATAAAAGTTTTACAAACAGTAGCTTTAAAATATATGATTTTTTCTCCAAATGAAAAGATCTATAAAAGATTATTTTTCTAGACTCTGCTTAATTACTCCAATCCATTTATGTTTTTGCTTTTCGTAGTTTACTTGAATAAATGAAAATCATTAAATTCCAATCGTGATGCTCTTGTTGTTATACTTTTTCACCAAAAAAATGTTAAGTTGCTTTTGCTTTGTACTAAAAGATATAACAAGGGAACATAAAGATTGATTATGTCATAAAATATTCTTCAGGTACCGGTGAAAGAAATTGACTTAGACGGATACTTTTGGTGAAAGATATTTGATTTTTTTAATTTCAAGAAACACGTTTGATAGATTACAGAATATGATCACTGGATATGTATACATGTGTATATATAGGGATCTCCATTGGACCGCCACAGACAAATTCCTTAGTGCCACAGTTAAATTATCAGCACTATAGTTTTGCCACAGTTAAATATTAACACAGTATGTTAACTCATAATTAATCGCCAATCAAGGAGATTAATGTATCAATACATGTATACAATTTCAATACAAATATAGCCCTGTATATTCTAAAAAAATATGGAAGTGAATAAAGAAATTCATATTCATTCTTTCTGAATCAACGGAATTCCATGAAGGACGAAAATGCAAATCTTTTCTCGTATAACCTCTTAGATGCTAACTTTGACGTCATAATTGAACGTCTGCATTTTCCTATATTTTTTTGAAAGCTCCAGGAAGTATTCATTTACCGTGGAATTTTCTTGCAGATAATGCAGAGTTCATGCATCACACACAACGATCTTGAAAAATTTTATATTTTCAAGGATTTTAACATAGTATATTTGAAAACTGAAGTGGCAACAATGATTGAAGTGGCAACAATGATTGAAGTGGCAACAACTATGGACACTGTCTTCCTAAGGGAAATTACCTCCAACATGACTAAATTAGAAGCTTTTTTGGTTTAAAAAAAAGTTATTCTAAGTAAAATTTTCAATTAAAAAAAACTCTTTTACTCCATATTCTTTCATGACTTTTTTACACTCATTTATTTAAAGACTCATATTTAAGCCAATTTCATAAATTTTGTAAAACAATAAAAAAAAAAATTGCGGAATACAATGATAACTCTCTCAGTGGATTTTTTTTATTTATAAATCTAAACTGAATCTCAGAATTATTTATCTGTTATTTAATATTTATGAACGTCCGTTAAATCAAACGAATTGGACGTTGATCACATCCTACTAGGGAATAAAAACAATAACAGCTGTCAGCTGTCACGTATGTGCATAGTTCCAGTCTATCAAAGAGGTATAATCCAATGCTTTTAATTATATATGAAAATATTAAGTATTACTTTAATTGTCAAATGAATTATTTCCTTGACTTATAATTAGTTATCCCTGTACACTCTGTATAAACATGTTAATTCTAGTATAATTATAGGAGTGATGTCCCTTGCCAGTCTTTGCCATGCAGACAACAGGACTAACGCTGAGTTATTACAGCTCAGAATACATGATTGTACGGGTACAATCAATATTAACACTGTATTAATCAACCATATTTTAGATAGACATAAGTTATAATGTAGATCTAAGCCTAGCATTTTTAAATGCATACAAACGTGTAAATCGTTTATTGAAGAGACCTGATTTATAAAAACATTTATAATAAAGTCTCAGTTCTTTATGTTAAATTGAATGTTAGTCTTATGTTTAGAGGACAGAGTTCAATTATTATGAAATCATCTATACTGCTTCTTTTATTTGTTTGCATCTGAATTTTTTTAGATAAATATCTATAACAATCTGTTCAAAATTCCTCATTTTGACGCCTCTAAATCTGGGTTCCATTAAAAAAAAAATCTAATGATTTTTTGTAAAAATTTAATCTTAATTTTCTCTCTAGAGAACTGAAAGTGTAGCATACTTACATGTTCATTTCAATTCCTGGGCTATGTATGTTCTAATTTTCATTTCAATTTAATATATTTTTAACAAAATTCAGTAAATCAAGTAAAGGAGGTTTGTATTAAAAACAAGCATTACATGAATCTTCAATAGACTGATCAGTAATTTTTAAAACCTGCTCATTATCATGAACAATGTATGATTTCACAGTATTCTTCAGGGTGTAATAAGGCATATTTCATACTTTGTTGACAAAAATTTGTGGTTCATATCATTGACATTTGCTTTTTAAATAAAAATGGAACTCGTAAATTAACTTACCTTTTCATTAGTCATTTGCAAAAATACTTCATTAAAAACACTCTGATTTTACACATGAAAACTCTGAAGTTGAAATTGAAATATCCTCGAGTTTCTGATCGACACTATTTATGTGTTGTTTGGAGATCAGGTCCTCTAACGATCAATTTGAATTACCGTTGTTACCAATGGCGCAACGTCATTAGCAGACCTATTTTTATTCATATGAAACAATATTATTTTGTTAAAAATCTTTTACGAGAAAAGAAGAAAACACTTGTTGTGGCCTCAAACTCGACATTTATAGATATATCGACGACACATTTTGAATTAACAATTATAGTTATTTCCATTCTTGTGTCAATGCGATATATCCTGGCGAGCT